TACATAATATGACACTCTATAATTGGGATTCTCGAGGTGACACGCGCTCCTGTTGACGTTCCCCGGTAACGTAACGATATACCCAGACCCAACCGTTTCACTATAGCATAAGTATAACGACCATCTCCGTTGTTCATTGTAAGGCCTACCGGTAGGCCTATATCTTGTTGACAGGAAGGGAGACAGGGATTGACTCAAATTGGAATGGAACCATTCAAAGACCTAGGGAGTTGTAATTTAAGGTATTTTTTCATGTGATTAGAAAACACTAAACGTGGATGTCAAGCCCAGCCCATTTCAGAGGAGAAAGTGAATGTGACTATTTAATTTCTGCCTTCAACATCACAAGATTTCGTTCCAACCGTTTTAAGTTTTCTCCCTGATTTGGGCAATATAGCCTATTAGTATAAAATGTGCCTACTAGGTTATGTCATCTGACACATGGATTAATTTTACGTTTAATAATAATCTACTCAATTGAATAACATTTCATTTCTATGCACTGTAATGTTTTTAGGCGTGGTGTATCTTGATGCCAGATAGCCTATTGTTAATACAGTTTGACTGCAACATCCAATGATGTATTACCACGGACCCATCAGAACCCACTGTAATCTGGGGTGTATAACACACTTGACTAGATTTTATTCATATGTTCATTGACATGCTGATATTTTGGACAAACCCGTGATGTGTGTGTGTGTTCGTGCTCGTGCGTGCGTGTGTGTGTGTCTCAGCATTGTCTCGTGAGCTCTCATTATCCGTGTGTTTGAGAGGGTTTGGTGGAGGGAGAAGAATATATAATAATTGTCTTCTCGCCAAGCTGTGGGTTTGTTTTAATTGACACTCACTAGGACTACAAGAAACAAGGAACAACCCCCATCTACCGGCAGAATCTCTGCCATCCTCTCCTCACCTCTCCTCTCCTCCTTTCCCTCCTTTTCCTCCTCCTCTTCTCTCTTCTATACAGCCCGGCCAACCTCTCCACGCACGGTTGACTTCTATAACAGGACGGCGCATTCTCAGCTGAAGGTAACCTCAACTTTCACATGAAATACACATTTTCACGCAATTAATCGGTATATGTGCTATAGGCATACATTATATCCACATGGCTAATATTTTTCGAGGTGCGAAAAATGACATTGAAATAGAATACAGGCCTGATGCATGGAGTGGAAAAGATTGTGCGTGTGCAAGCTGTAAGACTTCGTATTAATGACAGATAGAGTGAGCCGTGTTACTGCCTGGTTACTGAGCTTTGAGATGCGGAAGGATTGGCGATATACGGCCTATTTATTTCATTCACAAGCAAACCAAAGTCAACATTGAGCCACCCGTGGTATAGTTCAAATATGGTTATCTTATCTGTCAATGTTTTTGAATACATGTTCATGGTCAACATTTTGTTTGACAAAAAAAACAACCAAGGTTGAATTTGAGAAGACACTGCACAATACACTGAACTGCAGAGGTTAAGAGGTGATTCTCAGCAAAGTCTCAGCAGAATAGTGGAAAGCAGAGGGAATACAGACTAAACAATAATTAATAGTAGCCTAAATGTGTTGCCAGTTCTAAAATGTCACGAGTCACCCAAATAATAGTAAAATAACGATGAATTCTGAATTCTGACCGGAATGGAAATACTTTAGTTGGCCGCTATATTTCTTTTTATTTATTTTATTCTTCACGAGACAAAAGCCTGGCATGGTTACGAACAATGCAGGTATGAATTCACCCCCCAAAAACAAAAGCCAACGCGTTTAGAGACCAATAAGTTACTTTCCTTAGAAGATACTAATGTGTGTCCGCCATCATTATTGGCATTACTGAATGATGCGTCATCAATGGTCTTTTTTTATTTTTTCTTCTTCTATCATATAGCAAATAATTATGCATTTATAACCTGCTATGCCATAGACTTGTAAAATAGGCCTAGCTATAAACTAAACCCGAGAAAGAGGGAATAAGGTTACATTTCGATTTTGTTAAGGAAAAAAAAAAAAAAATAGGTTGATTTCCATTTCAGAGAGATGAACACTGGGAGAGCTCATGCATGCATTGACGCATTTTAATCCTTTTTCACTCGGATGAAATGTCATTGCTGGAGGCAAGGGAGACACGCATCAAGGGGATATATAGAACATTTCGTATTCCTTATGAAGATGCACAATGAAATAATAATAATCATACATGGTTCATTTTAGTTTCTGAAATAAATATAGGTAACAAAAGCAAAACATTTAGTAGGTTATAAGCGTGTTTAAATAAGGTGGGACACTTTGCGTTTTATATCCTCTCTTGGGAACGCGTAATAAACACTGCAATTAAATGTCACACTAAACTGACACCATGTTTTCTTCTGCCATTTTAAGATTTCTTTGTCCACGTGAAATTAATCCTCAGTATTTTTCTATTACATTTTTTACCTCAGTGGTATGAAACTGACAGAGCGCGAATTAACTCCGCTGCTGCTAGCACATCCTCCTCCTCTAAAGCTTGGACATTTCCGCGCCGTGTTATCTAGGGGGGCCCAATTAAACACCCGACTTCTGATCCCGGGGACAAAATGGAAATGTAACACGTCTTAAAATGATTGGTGTTGGCGAGAGGAAGCGCACCTGCAACTCCTTTGAGCTCTGGGGAGTCTATTAATGGTCCGGACTGTAAGCAGAGTTATCTTTTGTCCACTGACACAAAACCTTTAATTCTCCCAGACGTGTTTTATTGTCTGTCAGGCCTCGGCCGGGGCCTTGGGGACAAAATAATACACACATTAATTATATAGATACTATCAATTACCTCTTCAACAACATGGTATCCGAACAATAAATATATTTAATGGAATTCAATATCTTGGATTAAAGTACAAAATGTCAATGGCAAAAAACAAGCAAACAAGCAGATTTAGCCAATATCATGGGTGCGTGTTGTCACACATTTTTCCCCCCCACCTTTATTTTAACCAGGTAAGCCAGTTGAGAACAAGTTCTCATTTACAACTGTGACCTGGCCAAGATAAAGCAAAGCAGTGCGGAAAAAACAACAACAACACAGAGTTACATATGGAATAAACTAAACGTACAGTCAATAACACAGTAGAAAATCTATATACAGTGTGTGCAAATGTAGTAAGTTATGGAGGTAAGGCAATAAATAGGCCATAGTGCAAAATAATTACAATTATAATTTAGTATTAACACTGGAGTGATAGATGTGCAGAATATGTTGTGCAAATAGAGATACTGGGGTGCAAATGAGCAAAATAAATAACAATGTTAATAGCAATATGGGGATGAGGTAGTTGAGAGAGAAACCTGTCTGTCAGTGTATCGCGATAGTTTGAGTACAGAGGGGTTAATTGGAGAGACGATGGGCATGCTAATGAAGAGTTAGTGGCGGATAATTAGTTTCCATTGAGTGTAGGTTACTGTTTAATTGAGAGAGCATTGATTGGGCTTAAAATCTGTAATTACATTACTTACACAGAATGGAAGCTTGACACTGTCACTTCAGCGCATGCAGCTTTAGGAGGACTAGAAAATGCATTTAGGCTACTCTATAGGTTTCTTAACTAGGCTAATTTATTATGTTGGTTAGAAAAGGGTCTGGCATCTGTTCGTTTTAGAATAGGCCTATATGTATTTGCCATGCACTAGGCTATTTGAGGCATGTTTATCGTAGTCCATATTATACTATTTTGCAGGCCTACATTGTGTTTTGTAGGCTAAACTTGACATATGTTGGCTATGATAATCTTTTACCATTCTCTCTAAGGAGTTACTGTAGCTGCCTTCTCCCTATAACATTTCACTGCCCCGCCCCAACCTCCCAACACGCACGCACGCACACACGCACACACACACACACACACACACACACACACACACACACACACACACACACACACACACACACACACATACACACACACACACACACACAGCATGTAATCGCTAATATTAATTCATCAGGATCCGGTTAAATTAGGCCTGTGAGCGTTTAACTAATACAATATAATCTCGGCCTAAAGTAAAAAATATCCAATCCAAAATGTGGGACTTTTTTTTTATTGTAAACATGTTATAGACTAACTTAGTTAGGCCTACACAGCATGCTCACAGGTAAATATATTATCACATTGAAAAATACATGGCGGCAAATAAGTACCTGACAAGAGTAAAAAAAGATCACCTCACACGACTGTTTCACATACGACGTGTCACATAAAGTTATCGAATAAAATTCAACAAATGAGAATTCTGTAACTCCATAATACATTTCAAACATATTAAAATTAGTTCAAATTACAATTCAATATCCAAAGCTTATCCTTCTAATTCAATCACACGAAGAGCTTATGCAAATATCACTAAACCGTATCTTGTCTTTAAACTGCGATTTAGTCTCCACTAATGTGTCTGGTAACTAAAACCTATAGAAAAGAAAAGTAATGAAAATGTCAATACCCAAAGTGTCTCTCTCCACGCTCTCGCAGCCAGCATGCACGGCGGGTTTGAGAGGAGAGTGACAGCTCTTTGTTGGTGAATAGAAATCAGTGGCATAGAGAGAAGGGGCGACTCCTCCTACCAAATTATCCAAACTGGGCAGGCTTTTGCTCTCTTCACAAATAGAACACGGCTCTCCAACTCAGGCAGTCCCAATCTGACCTTCAAGCACACGGAACCCTATAACGGGAGATCGGTGGGGGACTGTCGAGAGAAAAATACCCAATCTAAACTTCTGCCATTTTAACCGTTCATCACCATCACCATCATCACCATCATCATCATCAGTGCGTGTACTGGCAACCGCCGGATCAGCTGGACTATACTTTCTATTTTTTGGCAACAAGACATTCAGGGGAGAGGAAAACAGTTTATTCCTGCCTTGACTTCTCCCCGTTCCTCATCTCTACACCGATTTGTAGTCGTTTTCCACCAGTTTGCTTTGCACACTTGCAGAGGAGGTGAGCTGAGCTGTGTGCCTGTTGTGTGTGTATGCCTGTCTCGCAGCAGAACCAGTCGGATGCTCTGAGCCTACCCGACGCAGAGCTGTATATGGAAGTTGTGGGCTACAAGGCAGGAACGAGCTGTTGCACATTGCGTCGTTCAAGAGCGGGAGCCATGCTGTTCCACGGGATCTCCGGTGACCACATCCAGGGCATCATGGAGGAGATGGAGAGGAGATCCAAAACCGACTCGCGCCTGGCCAAGGGCGTGCGGCTCAACGGAAGGGAAGCGGTGAGAAACATTAACGCAATGCAATGTTGTTGTTTTTTTTCTGACATCTATGACGATTAACACCTACATCCGGATGGGAATAACTGTTTAAACGCAAGAAGGTAGGCCTATAGTTGGGCTAATATAAAGAATCACTCGAAAGAAAGTCTTAATGTTGTGGTTAATATTGAGTTTACAGGTTCCTCTGCCCAAAATAACAAACAAAAACGTGCAGCCTAAATTGTATGCTCGTCTGGGGAAGTTTTCGTATGTAATAAAAATACATTCAGTTATCAACCTGTTAAGTGAAAGCGCATACAGTAAAAGTGACAATTATTATGCAGAATTTTCCAATTTGTTACACAATTTATATTTTGAGCAAATAGCAAATTGCTGTTGTTAATATATATTTATATAATATAGGCTATAATTAAACAGTAAATACAGAGATAGCCTAATAAGCCTATATTAGCTTGGTTATTATTAGCATCTACATAATAATTTATTATAGGCCTACATAATTTGTGTTATTATTATTATTATTATTATTATTATTATTATTAGTAGTAGTAGTAGTAGTAGTAGTAGTAGTAATTGTTGTAATTTATGGTTAAGTTATAGGCGTGTAAAAGTAGGAGGATATAGGCCTGCTTAGTGGCTGTCGATACATCTTATTTTAAACGTGCAATGAAGCGACATTAATTATTCTTTGTCATTGTAATATAATTATATATACAGGCTCCATTTGTTAGATAAGTTGAACGCAGTTACTCCCTAAACACAATGGGCCCTGTATGTTTATACACGTCCAGCTCCGCAGGAATTTCCTAGGGTTCATTTTGCTTTTAAACTGAACTGTCATAGGCCTAAAATCTAACTATCGAGCTACTTACTATTTTATTTATTTTCAAGAAAATGGTGCAATGCTGATATTAGTGTAATATGTAATTTTCATATATGTTACAGTTTTATCACACACAAGCCAAACCCCCACATGATAAGTATAGGCTTAACCACAGGCGCATGATGTGAGCCATGCATTCCCACGTTAATATCCCCCTCCTTTCCCTCTCCCTCCAGACCATGCCTTCCATGGGCCCTGAGAAGCCCGCGTTGTGTGCCGGCTGTGGAGGCAAAATCTCGGATAGATATTATCTGCTCGCTGTGGACAAACAATGGCACCTACGGTGCCTCAAATGCTGTGAATGTAAACAGCATTTGGAGTCAGAGCTCACGTGTTTCGCCAAGGATGGCAGCATCTACTGCAAAGAGGATTACTACAGGTAAGAAAACCTAAGGTTATGAATTGTTTTTCTACTGGCTTAGTGAAATTATTGATTTTATTATTCGATAATTGAACATACACACACACACACCCTCTCTCTCTCTCTCTCTCTCTCTCTCCCTGTTTGGTATTAGGCCTGTCATACAAACTATTGTTAATGTCTGAAACCTTAGGCCTATAACACAAACACAGGCTACGGAAAAATGCAAATAGGCTATAGGCCTAGGTTAAATGTAGAATGTATTGGTTCGATCGAGTATAGCTTTATTCAACTGGGCATACAAGGCCTCATATAATTAACCGACAACATGGAAATAGAAATAGCTGTAGCGATGCAGCCTATAAATATCAGAGGCAACCTGACATCTCCACTGCAAAACCGAGGTGTTATTATACCAAAACTGCGGACGGAGGTTATAACATTATAAGCAAACTGCTGAATAAAAAACAATAACGACATGGAGGTGTCTTTTATGTAGCCCCCTCTCCTCGCAGTGTGTGAGTGTGTTCCATTTTTTCAACCCTTTTGTGAGTGTTTTAGAAGTGTGATGTCTGCGCGTCCTTGTTCCAGAAGGTTCTCGGTGCAGAGGTGCGCACGCTGCCACCTCGGGATCTCGGCATCTGAGATGGTGATGCGCGCGAGGGACTCCGTGTACCACCTGAGCTGCTTCACGTGCACCACGTGCAACAAGACCCTGACCACCGGCGACCACTTCGGCATGAAAGACAGCCTGGTGTACTGCCGGGTCCACTTCGAGACCATAGCCCAGGGAGAGTACCCGCACCCTGGCCTCAACTATGCCGAGATGGCGGCTAAAGGTGGAGGTCTGGCGCTGCCATACTTCAATGGCACTGGAACGGTCCAGAAGGGAAGGCCTCGGAAGAGGAAGAGCCCGGCCATGGGCATAGACATCACCAGCTACAACTCAGGTGAGGAGACAGAGGGGATGAGATGACTGGCTTGTTGGGGAGTTTTGTCGGGGAATTGATGCTGTTGCACTCTTTTAAAATAACGTTTCGATGGGGATGTAATGGTTAGGGATAATATAATGTTCACCAACGCGCGCTGGTGAACTGAACAGAAAAGCCATTGACGAATATAGAGCTGGCTGGGCTGGCTGATGGGATTTTTTTTGGCTTGTACGATGTTTAAGGCCGTAGGCCTACTCCGAATGCAATTTTAACCAAAAAGGGGGAACAAGAAAGATAACAATTGGCCATTCCACAAAATTGAAGAGGCCTGCTATGAATGTGTGCTCTGTTCATGAAGTAGGGCTAGCCTATTTGCATTTATCCTCTTTATGCTAAATTTCATGTTGTCAAAATGATAGAAAATTGACCCCCCAGTTAAACATTAGATTACATTTTATAATTAAGAATCTTATTAGGTTATCGAATGCCTAAAATGGGCACACACATGAACTTGAACCATATGCACGTGCAGGGGGTAATGGGTGACCTATACGCACGTGCAAGGGGTAACGGTAATTCAGCCTCACTTGCTTAAATTGTGCCGCAGCTAATGCCGTTTTTTTCGCCTTTCGTCTTACTTGGGGGACATTGCCTCCTCCGGTAGGCTATAGCCTACAGTTAGCCTAATTTTACTTTTAAAATATGGCATTGAAAACGCTGAATGTTATAATGCAACCAACCCCGCAGATTCTCTTTTGTTGTTCCTTTTTAGAAGTAGTGTCCGGTTGAGAAAGTTTGTCATTGTGTGCCAAGTTTCCTCTGTTCACCATGAATAAAATGAATAAGGGTAATCTGAGTGTTAATTGTTCTGCGTTAATTGAAGGTGATTTAGGAATCCCTGGCGTCCAACCACTTCTGAATCATACTCGGAAGGTCAGCACAGTTCTCAGAAAAAGTGAAAGATGGAGCCGGAATACAATAGAATAATTTTTCATCAAAAATAACTTTTCATTTTTAACTGGCATCATGAGGTGCTTTTGTTATGTCCTCAAATATGCCAAGCCTATTCCTGAACGTTTTATGTTTTTTTAGGCTACTGTATTTTGCGTTTTAATAATGACAAGGATAATATTCGAGATAGATAATGTCAATATGCTCACTACAATTATTTGGTCTCCGTTTTTTTATTTATGTTTAGCTATAGATGTGCATTTTCCATATTTAAAGCACATTTGGTTGCACTGCAAAGACATACGCTTGTAGTTAACTCAGAATTAAGTCCTGCTTTTGTATGTAGCATTCCAAAATCAGGAATTGCCTGTCTTTCACAGTCAGGTGCGGGCAAAAACGTTGATATTGTCTAGATCCGGTTTATAATGTTTAGTTTCCATCTCCTCTGTATGCCTATACGTCTGGAGGATTCTCCAATGCAGTCCCATGTCGACCTTGCAGTTGGCAGGCTATACTTTGCTGCTAAGTATGTTTTCGTAGCGACCCCTGGTGGGTAGTTGTAGAACGAAAGGCACTGGAGGAAAATAGGATTTAAAGATTGAGGTGTTATTTATTGCAGTGCTTTTAAGATGCTTGTCTGTCATGAATTAGGATGCACATCTGATATCTGAAAATAAGTGTTTTAAGTTACAAGTTAGTGAAGAACAATGTAGTAGTAGACCTGTCTGCGCAGCGGTCTAAGGCACTGCATCTCAGTGCTAGAGGCGTCACTACAGACCCTGGTTCGATTCCAGGCTGTATCACAACCGGCCGTGATTGGGAGTCCCATAGGGCTGTGCACAATTGGCCCAGCGTCGTCCGGGCTTGGCCGGGGTAGGCCGTCATTGTGTAAATAGGAATTTGTTCTTAACTGACTTGCCTAGTTAAATAAAGGTTAGATAAAAAAATTGAAGATTTATTGTGTAGCCCAGAGCTATTTAATCATAGGTTCATCTGCGTTCATGCTTAGTTCTGGATTCACTAAAACCAGAATTAGGGATACTGGAGCAATGCAGTTTGGGTCTTTGAAACCGGCACTGAAGTCTGTCATTTAAACTAGTGATTTGCATTTGCAGGGGACGGAAATAACAAGAAAGGTGTTTTGAATAAATGATCGGCCTGCTAAATTGTTGTAGTTTATTAGACAGAGATTTAGAGATGATCACTATATGTGATATAGTAGAAAGAGTCAAGTCTGTCATAGAGAGCTACAGTAGGCCTATGTATGCAATAAACATGTCTGCTGGATGTGTTGACTTTTAAAATAGTTGTCTTTTGATCATGGAATGTCAATCAAATATTGTAAATATTTTCCCATAAACATTTAAGGACCTAATATTATGGTGCATGTTGGAAGTAGAGATGACATTTTAATGTCAAGACATTATTACTTTCTTTAAACGCAGAGGATTAGAAATGCTGGACCAAATCAACTAACTCTTACTGTAGATCTGCTTTAAATACTTTCTAAGGGTTTCTGGTCAGTTCAATTTGGAGTAATTATGATTCAATGAAAGATTTAATTGAATCTTAACTGAAAATTATGGCCAGTTTACGGACATTTTGTGTCTTGAATTTCTGTTCAATGGAATGCGTAGCCATCATGAACTAATCCCAACCCTGCTCCAGTTGTGTTGTATCTTTCTATACTTAACAATTTGGGGGAGTGCTGTCCATCTAATCTTCTAGGGATTATATTTACGAGTGTATTCCCGTGTAGCTCAGCTGGTAGAGCATGGCGCTTGCAACGCCAGGGTTGTGGGCTTGATTCCCACGGGGGGCCAGTATGAAAAATGTATGCACTCACTAACTGTAAGTCGCTCTGGATAAGAGCGTCTGCTAAATGACGTAAATGTAAAATGAGTATCAAGCAGCAGCCCACCTTTACATTTTTTTTATTATTCTGCAATGCACTTAATGAATTCTCCAATGTACCAGTATTTCTGTTCTAACCTCACACTTCCTCTTCCCCCCCCTCCTCTTGGTCAGGTTGTAATGAGAATGATGGGGACCACCTGGACCGTGACCAGGCCTACCCTCCCTCCCAGAAGAACAAGCGCATGCGCACCTCCTTCAAGCACCACCAGCTCCGCACCATGAAGTCCTACTTTGCTATCAACCACAACCCCGACGCCAAGGACCTGAAACAGCTGGCCCAGAAGACAGGCCTCACCAAAAGAGTTCTACAGGTAAGCAGAAGCCATCGCTCTCCTTCTTGACCTCTGACCTAGTATGACATCATCACTATATCCTCCATTCCACCGTTTGTTCTTTTGTTTGACCATCAGTTCCATTCAAGTCCAATTAATTCATCCTTTTTTGGTTTGTTTGGTTTTAATAAAATGTTTAATTTGTTTTCTACCAATGTTGAGTTGTATGGAATGTTGTTAGGCACTAGGTGTACTGTATGAAGTAGATCTAGTGTATTTGTAGTGTTCTGGGTTTATAGACATATCATTTATCCACTAATCACTCCCAGTCTCCCTGGGTCAGTGGTGGCAAGAGTAACTTAAACTAACGTTTACAGAGCGAGTAACTTAAACTAACGTACACAGAGAGAGTGCACAAGTCTGTAAGGATCTTTTACAAAAGAAAAACTCTTTCAGCTGGTCATTTCTCATGTGGTTTCTACTCCCTGAGTCCAAAGTAATGGCATAAAAATCAGCAGTTTTTGTAGCTATTGTACTTTGCTCTTTCTATTCTACCAGGAGAGTCAGCTAGTGGACAACACTGTGATGTCAAATAGATACAGAACCATTTTATTGTTAAGAAAATAAAGAAAATAAGTTGCTAATATATATTTTTTTAAATATACATCAGACATAAACATAAAGTAAAAGCCATTGGATTGGATTGGTTTGCAGGTATGGTTCCAAAACGCAAGAGCCAAATTCAGAAGGAACGTTTTGCGTCAGGAGAATGGTGTTGACAAGGCCGACGGCACGTCACTCCCTCCACCCTCGTCCGACAACGGCGCTCTGACACCCCCCTCCAGCACGGCCACACTAACAGACCTGACCAATCCCTCTATCACTGTAGTGACCTCCGTCACGTCTAGTTTGGACAGCCATGATTCGGGGAGCCCCTCACAGACTACCTTGACAAACCTTTTCTAGCAAGCTCTACGACTCCTAGCTCTTAACTCATTTTTGTTTTTTTCCCCCAATTTGCAATTCGATTTTTTAAAACAACATCTTTAAAGAAAACAGAGACAGTTCCATGGATACGTAAAGTACTGTACTGTACTGTACACACAACAAAAAGCAGCAAGAACAACGACAACAACTACAGCAACATTTAAACAGGAGGAAATCCTTTTGATGTGTAGCACTTGCAACCGCTTGGCAGCTGAGTTTGTAGTCAACGTATTTAGTGACTGGTTTTGTGCAAAGGACGTTTTGAATCTGGAAGGCGTTGACAAATTATTTAGAGGGTTCAACAATCTGGGTCACAGCCCAAATGAAACTATTTAAATGAGAATAGTATAATATTTGTACTTTCTTTTATTTCATTTGTTCATTTGATTTGATTTAGTCTAAATTTATCCGCCCCTGATAATTAATTTCAAATCATTAATACTATGTTAGCTCTATCCTATTTAAGGCATATTTTGATATTCCCCTTTTTTCATCTTTGAAATATGAATTTGCAGAATGTTGTGTAAAAGATCATTCAGAGTTATCCTGGATGTTACAAGACATGGGAGCGTTATATAGATTAGTCAATTCTAATCTCTAAATTGCGTTGTATACATTACAATAACCCCAACATTACAACTCAAATGCCAGGTGGCTGCTGTGACCTCAACATGCATTTTGTCTTGACATGATACACCTCAACTGTGATAGAAAATAATAAGAATGGAACAAATCTCTAGATCTGTTCAGTGGTAACTGTCCAACATGTAGTGCAATCACATTGATATTAGAACGTGGTCAACAATAGAAATCAGTGAGTGAAATTCTGATTGGGACAGAGTTAATGGGCACTGTTTGAAATTATTGTTTCCATTATAGAGCACTTTTTACTAATCTGTTGGCCTCATTTTACAGACCAACACACGAATGGAAAAACAGTAGTTTATCTGGATTCAGCGTGCCCGTAGAATTACTGTTAAATACAATTGCACAGTGACAATATACTGCCCAGTGAAAAGTGCATTATTATCATGTTGCTCAGGGTAAAAGAAGGGTTGATTCTGAAAAAGGTAAGAAGGGAGGAGAGGAATCTAATAAAAAGTGAGGGATGACAATGTGGCAGATTAGATGTGTAGAAGCTGACAGAAACATCACAATGACCTCGGAAAACTGGAGATGGTAGACAGCCAGTGGGACAAAGAAATCATCCTCCACGTTTTGTCCTTTTTGGGCATATTTAAACTTTACCGACACTTGCTACTGAACAGACCAAAATATACATTTTTTCCTCTGGCTGATTTAAGAGAAAGAGAGACAAAAGGAAGAGGAGTCCTTGCTGCGGGGGTTACATTATTTTTTTTTTTTTTTGTCTCCTGGGCCAGCTGTTTAAGGTCGTTGGCGTCGGGTTGTGGTTGATAGCAAAGCAGGACTACATGGTGCAGATTAACATTTTAGTCATTTATCAGACGCTCTTATCCAGAGCCACTTACAGGCCCCCCGTGGGAAACGAACCCACAACCCTGGCGTTGCAAGCGCCATGCTCTACCAACTGAGCTACAGGGAGACTACAAAGAAAAAGAGAGTCCTTGATGCGGGGTTCAAACATTTTATTGTAATTGTCACAATTTGTTCTATTGTAGAACATAGTGTTACTCTCAATCTACTTGATGAAGTAGATGCCTAACTCGGTTCTACTATGTGCCTTATGCTATAACTTGGAAGAAAGTTTGTGAACTTCAGGATTATATGTGTTGTTTGTTGACTGATTCACATCCTTTTGACGCCTCACTAGTTTTGTACTGTTTTGCATCTTATTTCTGAAGATCTTTTTATGGTGTATCCTGTTAGAAAGGGGCCAGCGATGTCATAGAAAGTATTTGTGCACTCTTTCAGATATAGTTGGTTAATCCAATAATCTTATATATTGATCTCCGTGTTAATAGTTGAGTACAGTAAGTGTTCTATCAAGATTGTCCATGTTTCCCTGTTTCTTGACTAAGATGGTGTATAGAAACTATTTCTCCTTAAATATTTATGGACCAAACGGTTGTTATATATCTTATTAAATTTGTGTGAATAAAAAATACTTTGCTTTAAATGAGTTTTATTTTTCATTACACTTGCCATTTTTTGTGTTATTCCTTAGATACTATGTTCTATTATTTGACTCACATCAACAAATGAAAAAGCATTCAATGATTGATTGACCAATTAAAACAAACGTTCCACATTTTTACTTTCATTTAGAATTTGTATTTCCTATTTTGTGGTGTTTACAGCTTTGAAGTAATGCCCCATGAATTTGCACCTAAACCCTGTAGTCAAAAATTATGAAAATTGCTTTTTAATGCATGAATATGGCTATATAACTTTTTAAAATGGAAAAAGGAATGCTGCAAAGCATACATTGATTGATATATCTATATATTATATATGTAGTGCTAAGGTGACGTAAGAGGAAATGCAGACCTATAAAGCCAGGTTGCTCTGTAGTTAATATATTGTTACTCTATTATTTCTTTCAGGGAGAACAAATCTTGGGGCATTACAGCCAAACTTCCCGACGTTTGAAAATTCCCTAAAGTATTAAGAGAAGGGGAAAACTTTGGTCGGAATTCCTCACCATTGAAGACAAAGACAATATTAGGATAAGACGATAGAATATTGAGAAATAAATTAACAAAAACATGTTTCAGTCCAAAAAATGTACAACAACCAAAAAATATTTAAAAACGTTTTAACTGAATGTTTGAATCCAACTACGGAGAAGAATACAGTGTGTTATTACTGATATCATTGTGAAAAAAGACTTGACATTGCTCATATTGGAATGCCATTCACACACAGTGGAAAAAGTTCTATAGGAACATAGATGTATATAGCAGAACAGCATGGTAGCACAGGGGCTATAGTAGGATTAAGAAACCGCAGACATTCAACAACACTACAGGACACACACACACACAGACACACAGACACACAGACACACACACACACACACAGACACACAGACACACACACAGACACACACACAGACACACACACACACACACACACACACACACACACACAGACACACACACACAGACACACAGACACACACACACACACACACACACACACACATACACACACGCACCCTTCCCCTGCACCCTTCCCCTGCACCCCCTTCACTTACCCCACACATTCTTACCTCTACCCTCTATAGAATCAGCTTGCTATAAAAAACGTTATTTTGTCACAAATGTCATTTTGTAAACACATGGCCTCCTTGAAACTCGGCAGCAGGACGCCCATCAAACGGGCTGATGAAGAGGACTGCAGAGTTGGCGCTTTGCCATCTGGCTGCTCTGAGGGAAAGAGGATGTAACACAAAAACAAGATGAAGAGGATTCCCATTATACACCTCAGCAAATTGTTAACATTGAGCTGTATATTATTACTTAGTTTGATGCATTGTATTCGTATCATTCGTTGTCAGCTGTAAAATAAACCCTATGAAAATCCTTCCCTGATGATGCCCGTATACCTTACGGTGGAAAGTGAAATGTCATTGTGAAGACATAGGTGGATTTTAATGCTTGAAGCTTAGTTAGCTGAATGTCATGTATAAATAAGGACAATATTAACAATACGATTATTACTGGCTGATTTCAATATTGTGGTTGTTCTTATGTTCTATGCAGCTTTTAAAATACACAACCAGTAAATGGAATTAAGTGTGTGATTACCGATAATAGATGGCGTTAATTAGATTCAGAATTCAAGCTATTTACAATACGCTTTCTGTTCAATTACAGTCACTGGATAGAGTCCATTCAGACTCCTGACAAATGTGGGCACCACATTTCATTCTAGGGATAAAACTACACAACATAATTATAATTGACTACCCGCGTCTCCGAGTCTCACAAATCACAATGCGTGTAACCTGATCCCACTGCCTTGCCTTGGTTCCTCAGTGCTGTGTGATTACTGCTCTACGATGAACGCTGCATATCCATGTTGGTAAGAAGGGAGACGGAAGGGAGCAGAGGGCCAGGATGGGGGAGGAGGTAGGGAGGAGGGAACGGTGGTGCCATATGGGGCCTAGTAAACAGCTCGCTGTTGAATTCCAACAACGTGGGAAACGGCAAACACAACAGACACGTCCAAGCCTAAACCTCACTCACTGGGGTGCTGGTCGTGCTGTTTTTCCTGGCCCGGGCGTTAGGCGGTTTATGCTAGCGAGCAGCAGGAAGTGGGATTGCAACATAACACAAACAAACAGTGTCGGCCATCTTGGATTCTGGAGATTCTGGACATCATCACAGCATCCTGCTGACTGACAAGAATGTGAAGGGAAGGAGGTTTGTGACTGGAATGCTTCTTATCGGAACGATTAGTGTGTGTGTGTGTGTGTGTGTGTGTGTGTGTGTGCGTCACAGTACTCGGCTGAGGGGAGGACGGCTCATAATAATGGTTGGAATGGCATCAAACACCTGCAAACCATGTGCTTGATGTATTTGATGGCATTCTACTTTTTCCGCTCCAGTCATTACCACGAGCCCATCCTCCCCAATGAAGGTGCCACCCGCCTCCTGTGGGGTGTGTGTGTGTGTGTAGTGTTTGGGGAAAGTAAAAGACAAGTCCATATCCTGACCAGGTACAGTATGTGGTTTGTAGAATGCCACTGATCATAACGGAGCATTGTGCAGACTGCAGGTGAGTCTGACACTGGTAGAACCCATTGTATAATTACATGCACTTCATGGTTCAGTCTCAAATATACTTTGTCATGTAATTTTACTCTATTATAGAATGGTTCAACATTTTGCTTGGGATAAAATCCCCAAATCCCTTCAGATGAATAATCTTGTTTCTAAGGGGGTTTCCATGGGGATCCCGAGACATTACTTCCCCGTTTACTGTGTTTCACAATATATATATATATAGTATACATACAGTACATCTCTCACTGTAATAAGACACATACTGCTTTCATTTGTGCTATTGCAGTTGGTCAATGGACTCAATACAATTTCACAATATTTCCCAATACTGTTCAGCTGCTATGTCACTTCCTTTCATAGTGGTGATCACCACTTCCTTACTTTAGATATTTGATTGTGAGAGAGAGCAGCAGCAGAGGGGATGGAGAGTTTGTTGATATTATTGGAACACGGCCACGTGATGTCACTAAAGTTCACACCAGGAGCAGAGAGGATCTCAGGTGAGCACAGTACAGGACATGGGGAGAGGATGGGAATGGATGCCTGTGGGCGATCACACACACACACGTGACTACATGCTGCTTTAATAGGGTGTCAGTTCAATGTGTGTGCTAGTTCTGCCTCAGCGCCCGCCTCTCATCGCCAGGTGTGCATTTCACCTCCACACACACACACACACACACACACACACACACACACACAACACACACACACACGTGGATGTCAGAGGGATGACGAACTCGACAAGAAACGACTCAACCTAACGCCCTGTAGGCTGCTAAGACACAGCAGTGACGGGGGGAGAGGAAAGTGGGTTGGGGGAGGATTGGGGGAGAGGGGAGACAGGTCTGCCCTGTGTGGGGTGATACGGAACAGGTGGAGAGATACGGGTTGACACTAAAAGGAGTGACACACACACACACACAAACACATACAAAACGTTCTGCTGTGGGTTACAAGGATAAGTCCTTCACATCGTTATGAGGCATCTTTCCTGTGCCTCAATTATACAGAGGTTTCCCTGCAGCTCAAATGTAACCTTATCTCTCTGTTTCTAACAGTGTATTATTCAGTATTTACATTCAGTTGGTCTGTGAAGTCTTACATCTAAACCTTGAACACACAATGATCAGGGATACTGACTGTGTGTTGCAATTATACTTTGAAGATGAGCACATTCATTAGTGAATAATCAAGTGCAAATCTTCTAGGGATTATATTTTACGAGTGTATTCCCGTGGAGCCTCAGCTGGTAGAGCAGGCGCTTGCACCCGAGGGTTGTGGGCTTGATTCCCACGGGGTGGCCAGTGATGAAAAAATGTATGCACTCACTAACTGTTAAGTCGCCTCTGGATAAGGTCGTCTGCTAAATGACGTTTAAAATGAAAATGGAGATCAAGCAGCAGCCCACTGTTACTTTTTTTTATTATTCTGCAATTGCACTTAATGAATTCTCCAATGTACCAGTATTTCTGTTTCTAACCTCACACTTCATCTTCCCCCCCCTCTCTTGGTCAGGTTGGTAATGAGAATGATGGGGACCACCTGGACCGTGACCAGGGCCTACCCTCCCTCACAGAAGAAACAAGCGAAATGCGCACCCTCCTTCAAAGCACCACCAGCTCCGCACCATGACGTACTAGTTGCATCAACCACAAACCCGACGCCAAGGACCGAAAACAGCGCTGGCCCAGAAGACAGGCCTCACCCAAAAGGTTCTACAGGTAGAGAAGCCATCGCTCTCCTTCTGACCTCTGACCTAGTATGACATCACACTATATTCCTCCATTCCACCGTTTGTTCTTTGTTTGACCCTCAGTTCCATCAAAGTCCAATTAATTCATCTTTTTTGGTTTGTTTGGTTTTAATAAAATGTTTAATTTGTTTTCTTACCAATGTTGAGTTGTAGGGATGTGTTAGGCATCGGTGTTACTTGTATGAAGTAGACTAGTGTATTGGTAGTGTCTGGGTTTATGACAATCAGTTATTCCATATCCACTTCCCAGCTCTCTGGGTCAGTGCGTGGCAAGAGTAGTAACTTAAAACTAACGTTTACAGAGCGAGTAACTTAAAACTAACGTACACAGAGAGAGTGCCACAAGTCTGTAAGGATTTCTTTACAAAGAAAAACTCTTTAGCGGTCATTATCATGTGGTTTTTTACCCTCCCTCCCCTCCCCCACCTCCCTGATTCCAAAGTAATGGCCCATAATAAAAATCAGCAGTTATCAGTTTTTGTTTAGATATTTGTACTTTGCTCTTTCTGATTTACCAGGGAGAGTCAGCCTAGTGGACAACCTGTGATGGCAAATAGATACAGAACAATTTTATTGTTAAGAATAAAGAAAGAAAATAAGTTGCTAATATATATTTTTTTCAATATAATCAACATAAAACATAAGTAAAAAGCCAGGTGATTGGATTGGTTGCAGGTAGGATGAGTTCCAAAACGCAAGAAAGAGCAAATTCAGAAGGAACGTTTTGCGTCAGGAGGAGAATGGTAGTTGGACCAAGGGCCGACGGCACGTCACTCCCTCCCACCCTCGTCCGACAACGGCGCTCTGACACCCCCCTCCAGCACGGCCACCTACAGACCATGAACCAATCCATCTATCACTGTCGTGACGAAGTCAAGTCTAGTTGGAAGCAATGATTCGGGGAGACCCTCCCAGACTACCTTGACAAACATTTTCTAGCAAGCTATACAGACTATAGCTCTTAAATACTCATTTTTTGATTTTTTTCCACCAATTGCAAATTCGATTTTTTTTTTGAAACAAAATAGTTAAAGAAAACAGAGGACAGTTCAATGGATACGTAAACGTACTGTACTGTACTGTACACACAACAAAAAGCAAGGCAAGAAACAACGACAACAAAACGACAAGCAACATTTGAAACAGGAGGAAGGAAATCCTTTTGATGTGTAGCACTTGCAACGCTTGGCAGCCTTGAGTTTGTAGTCAACGTATTTAGTGGACTGGTTTGTGCAAAGGACGTTGAATCTGAAGGAAGTTGGACAATTATTTAGAGGGTGTCACAATCTGGGTCACAGCCCAAATGTGAAATATGTAAATGAGAAGAGTGAATATTGGTACTTTTCTGTTATTTCAGTGTCATTTTGATTTGATTGAGTTCAATTAATCCGCCCCTGATAATTTAATTCAATCAATCATTAATACTATGTTAGATCTATCCTATTTAAGGCATTTGATATTACCATTTTTCATCTTTGAAATATGAATTTGAAGAATGTGTTGTAAAAGATCATTCAGAGTTATCCTGGATGTTACAAGAACATTGGGAGAGTTAAAGATTAGTCAATTCCTAATCTCTAACTAAATGCGTTTGTATACATTCACAATAACCCCAACATTACAAACTCAAATGCCAGGTGGCTGCTGTGACCTCAACATGCTTTTGTCTTGACATGATACACCAACTGGGATAGAAAATAATACGGAATGGTTAAACAAATCTCTAGAATCTGTCAGTTGGTGGGTAATGTCCAACATTGTAGTTGCACTCACATTGATATTAGGAACGTGGTCAACACACATAGAAACAGTGGGAGTGAAATTCTGATGGGCAGAGTTAATGGCACTGTTTTGAAATTATTGTTTCCATATAGAGCACTTTTTACTAATCTGTTTGGCCTCATTTTACAGACCAACACACGAATGGAAAAAACAGTAGTTATCTGGATTCAGCGTGCCCGTAGAATACTGTTAAATACAATTGCACACCCAGTGACAATTATACTGCCCAGTGAAAGTGCATTTTATCATGTTGCTCAGGGTAAAAGGAAGGGTTGGTGATTCCTGAAAAAAAAAGGTATAAGAAGGGAGGAGGAGGAGGCATCTAATAAAAAGTGAGGGATGACAATGGTGGCAGATTAGATGTGTTAGGTGAAGAAACATCACAAATGACCTCGGAAAACTGGAGGAGATGGTAGACAAGCCAGTGGGAGCAAGAAATCATCCTCCACGTTTTGTCCTTTGTGGGGGCATATTTAAACTTTACCGACACTTTTGCTACTGAACAGACCAACAATTATACATATTTTTACTCTGGCTGATTTACGAGAGAAAGAGACGACAAAAGGAAGAGGCGTCCTTGCGGGGGGTACATTATTTTTTTTTTTTTTGTCTCCGGGCCAGCTGTTAAGGGTCGTTGGCGTCGGGTTGATGGTTGTTTGCTAGCCAAAGCAGGAACATGGTGCGAATTAACATTTTAGTCATTTATCAGACGCTCTTATCCCAGAGCCACTTACAGGCCCCCCGTGGGAGGAAACGAACCCACAACCCTGGGTGAAGCGCCATGCTCTACCAACGGAGTTACAGGGGAGAACTACAAAGAAAACGAGAGTCATTGATGCCGGGGTTCAAACATTTTATTTGTAATGTCACAATTTGTCTATTGTCGAAACATAGTGTTCTCAATCTACTGATGAAGTAGAGTGCCTAATCGGGTTCTACTATGTGCCTATGCTATAACTTGAAGAAAGTTGTGAACATTCAGGGATTATATGGGTTGTTTGTTGACTGATTCACATCCTTTTGGACGCCTCTAACTAGTTTGTACTGTTTTGCATATTATTTATGAAGATCTTTTTATGGGGATCCTGTTAGAAAAGGGGGCCAGCGATTCATAGAAAGTATTTGTGCACTCTTTCAGATATAGTTGGTTATCCAATATCCTTATATATTGATTCCGGTTAATAGTTGAGTACAGTAAGTGTTTCTATCAAGATTGTCCATGTTTTCCCTGTTTCTTGACCTAAGATGTGGTTAGAAACTATTCTCCTTTAAATATTTATGGACCAAACGGTTTTGTGAATATCTTATTAAATTTGTGTGAATTAAAAATACTTTGCTTTAAATTGAGTTTATTTTTCTTACACGTGCCATTTTTTGTGTTATCCTAGATACATTTTTGATTATGTGAATAACATCAACAAATGAAAAAGCATTCAATGATTGATTGACAATTAAAACAAACGTTCCACCAATTTTTACTTTCATTTAGGAATTTGTATTCCTATTTGTGGTGTTTAACAGCTTTGAAGTAATGCCCCAGAATTTGCACCTAAACCTTGTAGTCAAAAAAATTATGAAAGTATATTTTGTTTTTTATCGGGTTGGTGGGGTTTTTATGCATGAATATTGGCTATATAACTTTTTAATTTTAAAATGGAAAAACGGGAATGCTGCACAGCATTACATTTGATTGAAATCTAATATTATATATGTAAGTGCTAAGGTGACGTAAGAGGAAATGAGAAATATAAAGCCAGGTTGCTCTGTAGTTAATATATTGTTAATCTATTATTTTTTAGGGAGAACAAATCGTGGGGCATTACAGCCCCACTTCCCGCCGTTGAAAAATTCCCTAAAGTATAAGAGGAAGGGGAAAGGAAAAAACTTTGGTCGGAATTCCTCACCATTGAAGACAAAGACATATTAGGAAAGACGATTAGATCGAATATGAGAAATAAAATTAAACAAAACATGTTTTTTTCAGTCCAAAAAAAGACAACAACCAACAAATTATTTAAAAACGTTTTAACTGATAGTTTGATCCAACTACGGAGAAGAATACAGTGTGTTATTACTGATATTAATTGTGAAAAAAGATTGACATTGCTCATATTGAATTGACATTCACAAACCAGTGGAAAAAGTTCTAAGGAACATAGATGTAATAGCAGAACAGCATGGTGGTAGCACAGGGTATATAGGATAGAAAACCGCAGGACACATCAACCACCCTACAGGACCACCACACACACACAGGACACACAAGGACACACAGACAAACAACACACACACAAGACACACAGACACACACACAGGACACACACACAGACACAAACAAACACACAACAACACACACACACACCACAGACACACACACAAGCACAACAGGACACACACACACACACCACACACACACACATACACCAACGCAACCTTCCCCTGCACCCTTACCCTGACACCCCTTCAATACCCCACACATTTCTTACCTCTACCCTCTATAGATCAGCTTGTATAAAAAACGTTATTTTGTCACAATGTCATTTTGTAAAACCTGGCCTCCTTGAAACTCGGCAAGAAGGACGCCCATCAAACGGGCGATTGAAGAGGGACTGCAGAGTTGGCGCTTTGCCATCGGGCTGCTAGAGGGAAGAAAGGGATGTAACACCAAAACAAGGATGAAGAGGAATTCCCAGTTTACACCTCAGGCAAATTGTAAACATTGAGCTGTATATTATTAACTTAGTTTGATGAATTGTATTCGTTATCATTCGTTTGTCAGCTTGTAAAATAAACCCTATGGAAAATCATTCACTGATGATGGCAAGTTATACTTACGGTGGTGAAAGTGAAAATGTCATTGTGAAGACATAGGGGGAGTTTAAATGCTTGAAGCTTAGTTAGATGAATGTCATGTATAATAAGGACAATATTAACAATACGATTATTATGGCTGATGTCAATTATTGTGGTTGTTCTTATGTTATATGCGCTTTTAAAATACACAACCAGTTAATGGAATTAAGTTGTGTGATTACGATATCGATGGCGTTAATTAGATTCAGAATTGCAAGCTTATTTACAATCAATACGCTTTCGGTTCAATTACAGTCCTGGATAGAGTTCCATCAGACTCCTGACAAATGTGGGCACCACATTTCATATCGGATAAACTTTACACAACATATAAATGACTACACGCGGTCTCCCGAGTCTCACAAATCAACAATGAGTGTAACCTGATCACATGCCTTGACTTGGTTCCTCAGTGGCTGTGTGATACTGCTCTACGATGAACGCTGCATATCCATGTTGGTAAAGAAGGGGAGACGGAAGGGGCAGAGGGAAAGGATGGGGGAGGAGGTGGGAGGAGGGAACGGTGGAGGTGCCATATGGGGCCTAGTAAACAGCTCGCTGTGAATCCAAACAACGTGGGAAACGGCACAAAACACAAACAAAACAGGACACGGCCAAGACTAAAACCTCACTCACTGGGTGTGATGGTCGTGAGTTTTTTCCTGGGCAAGGGAGTTAGGCGGGGGTTCTGGTTTCTATGCTAGCCAAGAAGAAGGGGGGGGGGGGGGGGGGGGGGGGAAGGCAGGAAGGAAGTGGGAGGGAAGTGGATGGCATTGCTAAACATAACACAACCCAAACAGTTGTCGGCCATTCTTGGATTCCTGGAGATTCGGACATCATCACAGCATCTGCTGACTGACAAGAATGTGAAGGGAAGGAGGTTTGGTGGGGACTGGAAGGCGTCTTATCGGAACGATTAGTGTGTGGGTGTGGTGTGGGTGTGAGTGTGTGTGCGTCACAGTACTCGGCTGCTGAGGAGGAGGACGGCTCATATAATGGCTTGGAATGGACCATCAAACACCTTGACAAAACACCATGTGCTTGATGGATTTGATGGCATTCTACTTTTTCCAGCTCCAGTCATTACCACGAGCCATCCTCACCAATGAAGGTGCCACACGCCTCCTGTGGGGGGAGGGTGTGTTTGTGTGTGGTTGTGTAGTGTTTGGGGAAAGTAAAAGACAAGTCAATATCATGACCAGGTACAGTATGTGCGTTTGTAGAATGCCACTGGATCATACGGAGAATGTGAGAATGCAGGTGAGTCTGACATGGAGAACCCATTGTATAATTTAATGCACTCATTGGTAGCAGTCTCAAATATCTTTGTCATGTAATTTACTCTATTATAGAATGGTCAACATTTGCTTGGAGATAAAATCCCCAAATCCTTAAGATGAAATAATCTTGTTGCTAGGGGGTGCATGCGGGGTCAAGAGAGGAGAGACAC